CCCCACCCTTCTCCAACCCCAACGAACTACTCGAACCCCCAACAGAAGGAGAAGGGGAAGAAGAGAAAGCACGGAGAGAAGAAGACCCAGAAAAAGCTGTTGACTTACCCGGATCAGAACCCGATTGCGAAGACAGCACCCATTTATGCTTGTCCTTTCGACTCCACCTCTTACGAAGAGCAGGAAGGAGGACTTTCTTCTTAGACAGACGATGGTAATGCGCAGAATTACCTCGCCGTTCCTCTCTGACGCTCGCGCTGAAAGAACCAGATGGCTGAGAGCATCTTCCGTCCACTGAGGAAGACAAAGCTAATGGCCCAAATTTGTTACTCAACGCAACCCCAGAGCAAGAAGGGACTGAGCCCAGCCCACTCGTTGACCCAGAAATCCCGTCAACAGAAACATTATTAAGTGGCTGAGAAATAAGACCTCTATCCAGCCCACAAACCTTAGTCCCCTCACTTGGCCCACCAGAAAATTTGAAAACCTCCTTAGTCCCTTTAGACCCTTTAACAACCGAAGCCCCACTCCACAGCCCAAGACCAGGCCCATCATCACGAGAAGGCCTTGGACCCTTCCTAGCCCAAGCGAATGAAACTGAATTTAGAGCAGAATTTGAAAAGAACGTGGGAACAGCTGGATTAGTCATATAACGGCCTTGTCCTAGACGCCAACCACGTGTATGGATAAGGTTCCTCCCCCACCCGCGCGTAGCCGCGTATGCTGCACGTGAATCTCACCGCGATGCCTTTTCTGATCCCAACTCTGCAAAAAAGACTAACGGCCGCTTCCGGTGAAACCTCTATCCCACTGATTCGGCCGGAACCCACCTTGCCGGTGACGATCCATCGTGAAAGAAGGACCTTCCCGCCATTTCTGAGTGAACAGCCGTCTAAAACACTGCATATTCCGGATCCACAACGCATCCCTCCATTCTTTCCATTTTCTAAACTCAGCCATCCCCTTCTCCCCTTCCCACCGCAACCATTCTTTCTCCTTAAGCAGATGAGAACCATCACCCCCTTCCAAACTATCTGTCGTCGGAACAAGCTCCGGAGGCTTCTCCTCCCAAATAGCCACCTTAAAGCAAAGCCGATCATCATGAATAAACACAAACGGAGGACAGACCTTGCCATCCGCCACTGTGATACGAACTCTCTCAGCATCAACAGTTTCATCTGTGTCGACCCAAATAAAATCACCACATAAATCTCCGATCGTCAAGAACAAAGCATGGCTCCAGAGGTGAAGAGGGAGACCGTAAATCGAAACTTTCTTCAGCCCCTTCTCTTTCAGGACCTCTGAACACCCCGCCCTAAAACTCCAAGCATCCACAGTCAGAGTTGCCTTTCCCCAATCACGTCGACCCACTCTTAGAACACGAGAAGCCTCTGCCGGAGAAGGAAGGCAAAAGAGAAACAGAGAATCCGGCAACAACGAAACCCCCACACCAGAGGAGACGTTCCAAACTCTTGATGCCCAAGCAGCAATTTGAGCCCTATCACCCACATCCTTATCAAACTTTCCCACCAAACATGATCGAAGATCATCTCTTCTCCTTCCAACCGAATCGTCATCCAAGAAAATCGAGGGCCCTCGGTACGGATTTGCAAATCTCACAGAGCCACCTTGGAACAACCGTGGCAGCCTAGCAACCTCCAAGAGCGAACGCATCAATGTTGTCTCAGATTTCCATTGTCTGCAGAGATCATTATTATCAATATAATTTCAGTTTCTCTCTTATGAGTATGTTCTTTGTGAATCCAGGGTTTAACCATGTTTTTTATCGTTTTCGCTATGTTAGTTGGTATCAGAGCAAGGTTTAGAATACAAGATTCACCTTAGTATCGATGGCTGGTTCACGAGATGGAAGCAACCCCTCCAGCGACAGTGATCGTGGAGTAGCTCTTTTGAGGGCTGAGTTTACTGTATTCCAGACCAACGTTAATCGAACCTTACTTGATATGCATGAAACTATGCGTCAAGTATTGGCAAGATTGACAACGGTAGAACTTAACCGCGAGAACAACAGGCTGCCCAACAACGGTAATCATGGACATCCTGCTGGCAATCACAACCCAAACCCACCGAATAGGCAACCAGCCTATGAAGAAAATGTCAGTTTTGGTAACAACCGAGCTGTACAGGTGTTTGGAGATAATCAAGGTCGATGGGAAATTGATGATTCCAGGGATTTTCGTTTGAAGATCGACCTACCCACCTTTCAAGGTTATCTTCGTATCGAAGAATTCTTGGACTGGATTAGTGAAGTTAAACGTTTCTTTGACTATATGAAAATCCAGGAGGAGAAGCAAGTTAAGACTCGTGGCCTATAAGTTGAAAGGCGGCGCATCAACATAGTGGGATCAAGTGCAAACTACCCGCGCACGTGAGGGTAAAGCTCCTGTACGTACATGGGTTAAGATGAAGAGCTTGATGAAAGCCCGATTTTTACCCCTGATTACAAACAGGTTCTTTATCAGAAATATCAGTACTGCACGCAGGGAAGTAGAACGATTGCTGAATATGCTAAAGAATTTTATCGGTTGTCATCCCGTAACCTGGTGGAACCCAAATTTAGCATGGTGGCCCGTTTCAAAGGCGGGTTACGATGGGATATTGAAGAGAAAGTGGCATTGCAACCGCTATTCAAACTGTCTGAGATTGTCACGGTGGCAGAGAGAGTAAAAGCGTTCCAGGAGAAGTCGAAGAATCGGTCTCGTGGTTCATATAATACCCCACGTCCTACACATGACATGGGTAAACAGACCACGGTAGCCCTTGTCCCAATGACTTGGCAAAGCATTGGAGATGGTCCAACAAAGGCCAAACCCGCAACACCCATAGGCCCTGCTGGAAGGGGAGCCCCATTTGTGAGAGAAAATCCCTACGCACACCCAAGTATGGGCAAATGTTTTCGATGTGGAGAACTTGGCTATAAATCCAACAATTGCCCCAAGCGACCGACAGTAAATCTGGTCGAGCATGATGAAGACAAGGGTGAGAAAGGTGAGTTCCTTACCTTTGAAGAAAAGGCGACTAAAGGAGACAATGACGAGTTGTTGTGCCACTCTTTAGTCGTGAGGAGGTTGATGCTCACGCCAAAGGAGGAACACCTGCAATGCCATAATGTGTTCCGTACACGTTCGACAGTCAACCATAAGGTATGTGACGTTATTATTGATAGAGGCAGTAGTGGGAACATTGTTTCCTTAACAATAGTTAAAAAATTAAGGCTTAAAACTGAGAAACATCTCTGTCCATACAAAATTGGATGGATCAAGAAAGGCTAAAAAATGCAAGTAACTGAAACCCGCATTGTTCCATTCTCAATTGGGATAGCATATGCAGAGGAGGTGCGTTGCGATGTAGTCGACATGGATGCATGCCATATGATATTAGGCAAACCATGGCAATTTGATGTCAATGCCACTCACCGTGGTAGAGACAATGTGTATATTCTATACAAGAATGATCAAAAGATTGTTTTGGGTCTGCTGAAAGAAGCCAAATTTCCCAAAGGAACTGAGGAATTTCTAGGCAAAGTAACAACTGCCCCTGAAATCTTTGTTGTTATGTGCAAGGGGGAAGTAGTTGAATAACCTCCATTTACAGTACCAGCAATAGTGCAGCCATTACTGCAGGAGTTTAGTGAGTTTGTTGCCAGAAGACTTGCCTGATAGTCTCCCTCCCATGAGGGACATTCAGCATCACATTGACTTGGGGCCCGGGGAGAGCCTGCCAAATCTACCACATTACCGGATGAGTCCCAACGAGAGTCAAATCTTACAAAAGCAAGTGGAAGAGTTACTACAGAAAGGGTTGATTTGGGAGAGCATGAGCCTATGTGTTGTTCCGGCCTTGCTAGTACCGAAGAAAGATGGCAGTTGGAGAATGTGCATTGATAGTTGCGCAATTAACAGAATCACTGCCAAGTACAGATTTCCCATTCCGCGTTTGGATGATATGCTGGATATGTTGGCAGGATCGAAAGTCTTCACCAAAGTGGACCTCAAGAGTGGATACCATCAGATCAAAATCCGCCCTAGGGATGAGTGGAAACGGCGTTCGAGACAAAAGAACGGCTATACGAGTGGTTAGTCATGCCATTCGGATTATCCAACACGCCAAGTACTTTCATGCGGTTGATGAATCAGGTACTCAAACCATTTATTAGTTGATTTGTAGTTGTTTATTTCGACGACATTCTGGTTTATAGTTAAACAAAGGCAGAACACCTTTTGCACCTGAGAGAGGTATTAACAGCTTTGCAGAAGAATAAGTTGTTCATTAATCTGAAGAAGTGTAGCTTTGTGACCCCAAGCCTAGTATTCCTAAGCTATGTGGTTTGTAGTGATGGCATTCGGGTAGATGAGAAGAAGGTGAGGGCCATTCGGGAGTGGCCTATGCCTAAGAATGTGAGAGAAGTACGTAGTTTCCATGGCTTAGCCACATTTTACTGAAGGTTCATCAAGAACTTCAATAGTATTGTGGCTCCCATCACATAATGCATGAAGAAAGGAAAATTCCAATGGGGAGAGTAAGCTGAGATGAGGTTTGCCTTAATCAAGAAAAAACTGTCAACAGCCCCAATATCATACATGGTACGTGCAATCCGACGGAAAACTTGTGCACATGAGTTATAGATTATAAGAAAAAATAAATAAATAACAGAAGCCTGGTGGAACATAACAACTGAAAATTACATACAAGAAGGCTAATATGCAATCCATTAAAAGAATTTATAAAGGAAAAGAAATCATAGTATTATCAAAATAATTGAAGGAAAGATCATTAACTAAGTAATGCAAATTGTGGAACTGCAGGCAAACGAAAAATACAGATAGCATTAATTAACAATAAAAGGTGGAAAAGGTTGGTCCAACCAATATGATGCAACCAGTAAATAAAGACTTACAAACACAATGAAGTAAAGATATACAACACAAGAGATCAAATAATATCAAACAATAAGGTTGAGCATGGCAACTCTTGCGAACCTTACTAATTATTTGATTTTCAAGACAAACTCGGTAATCATCTTCACCAAATGCAGGAGCGCAGTGAACAACACCAGTCCCACTGTCAGATGTTACATAGTCGTCTGCAACAACTCTAAATGCCACATCACAAAACTCCATGAAGAAATCAAACAATGGTACATACCTGCAGACATTCCAAATTATAAATAGTGATATGATGAGTCGAACACCAAGAAGTTTATCTTAAGTTTACATAAGCTAAAAACAGTCGGTCCATGTTACATCACATTCATTTTCCAAAATTTCATAGTGTACCAGTGCAACCATCCAACCCATAAATTGAAAAATGTAAAACAAGTATAAAACTTGCAATAAATTCAAAAGAAACTTACAGTAGCTACTATTGCTTAAACACAACAATGGAGCAACGCTACAATTGCTTGGAGCAATACAGCAACATTTGATTCGAGAGTAAGTAGTTCTCATACGAACCTTACATAAAAAAGTCCATCTTTTCTCTTTTTTGGTAAGTAAACCAAAAGGTCCACCTTACTCAGAAACTTGGAGGATACTACACAAGTCTAAAGGGTACGCGTAAACCAGATGTTGTATGTCAATTAGTCCTTCCACTCTTTCATTAACTTTCAGTTTACTAGCTTTACCAGGATGAGAAAGCATTAGTTGATAAAAACACAAGGCATGAATTAACAATATATGAGTAAACCACCCCCCCCCCCCCCCCCCCCCGCGGGGTGCCCCCCGCGGAAAACATATATAACTTAACACTTTTAGTTGACATTTCTTCAGTTTCTTTTTTCAACTGTGGTACACTTTTAGTTGACACTTCGGTGCTTAAATTCTCGATTATTTCCACTCTTTTTTGTTGGGTTTTAGGGAGAGATCATAAATCTTTGGAGGAAATTGTTGATTTTTTGGCCTCTTTGAAGGATTGAGTGGCTTTTTGTATTGTTCTTGGGTTCCGCTCCCCCTTGGAGTGTTTTTTTATAAAAATTTTTATTTATTTATCAAAAAAAAAAAAAACTGTGGTACAGTATTAAACAAAAAAACCTTCCAAGAGGAAGACTGATAACTTATTCTACATAAAACTTTCAACAAATTAAAATACAATGACGTTGGCATAAACCCTAGCCATTTGAAGAGGGAGCCAGTCGGCAAATGGATTGACCGAAATTCTACAAAAGGGCCTCTAACAGCGACAGCTACCGCTGACGGCAGTGCAGTGACAATGGCGTTGGTACAATAGTTGTTATGGCTTTTGTATCTCTCATTGTTGCTATCACAAAAGGGAGTGTAGAGCCCCAAGAAAATGCAACTGAGGATGAGGCATAAAGTTGTTGATGATGCATGAAATAATGGGAGAGAAATGAGGAGACATAGCGAGTGGAGGAGGGAGGAGAGGATTCAGATGATGGATTGCAGAGGCCTTACCACCATCAAAAGGGGGGCTTTTTTTTTTGTTTTCATTTTCAATTTGAGTTTAATTTTCCAGAGAAATGTTTGGGCAAATACTGAATAAGAGGGAAAATGTTTTACAGGTAAAAAAGTTTACATAAAAACATTCTGCAATGAAAATATCAGACATCAAAACAAAAGGAAAGCTAAACTGCTGCTTTGGCAAATGATGTGATTGTTCTTTGATATCCTGACTGTATCTTTCCTTTTTCTTTTTTTTCTATTTTCCTTTTGGCTAAAAATCCTGACTGTATGTTACACATGCTATTAAGTCAAATTCTGGAGCACATCTGTTCAACAACTGATTAAGATGTTAAATTTCTCACATCTAATATTCTAAGCAACATCTATGCTTCTCAATTGATAAGAAAGTTCAAACATGAATCTCATTCAAAAACAACAGAATTTCCAAGACAACTAATACAGGAGTGTATATATAGAGAGTAAGTCTATCAAGAGAGCCCTCTAACGACAAGAGCCATGAGCTCTCTTTATTAACTATTGGGTTGAGAAGGTTTTTGAGATCTATGAAAAGTCCAATGAATTTTTAAAATTAATCCCTCTATCCAACGGTCAACAAGGAGAACTCAGCGGGCTCTCTTGATAGCCTTCCTCATATACATATATAAAACAATATATAATAGGATAATTTACAACGACACCCCCTGAGGTTTGGCAATTCTTTATGTGGGCGACCATATTCAATTATTACAAAGACACCCTCTTTAATCATTGGTCAACAAACGGATGCTTAGATCCTCCTACTATTTAATACCTATTTAATGGGAAAAAATAGGTGTGAAAACTGAAAAGACAAAATCGCCACTCCACTCTATCTCATCTCAGACATCTTGCACTCTCTCTCTCTCTCTCTCTCTCTCTCACTCGACAAACTCTCACTCGCGATCTCCTCTCACAAGCAGAACATTCTCTCTGCACAGGCAACCTGGTGTCAAGCCCTGGCTAAACATACAGACAAGTATATATATACACACACAAACACATACCTGTAATTGATCATACCATATATCTAAGCCAAACTATACATAGACACACAGGGGCAGTATATTCCCACCCTCTCCACCACCCCCCTAAACTGCACTGCCATGCTATACACCACAAACCCACCGTAATCCAGAGTTTCCCATGTCTTTAGCCAGTCAGTTCGACCGCGTTGCCTTTGTTGCTAAGAATTTAGCCCGTACTATTGCCATTAGGCATTCATCCATCCTATCTTAACAACAGATTTGGTGGCGTATTTGGAAAGAGAGGAACTACAGATTTTTTGAAGGAAAGGAGTCGTCCACAGCAACTCTGAAACTTTATATTCTTCGTTCTATTTTTAGCTGGGTGAAGGGGAGCTACTGTTCTTCTAATGATGATTTCGTAGATTTCTTGGACTTGTTGGGTCCTTAGGTTTCGGTTTTGTGTTTGTATAAGGGACGCGTTCCCCTTTTGAACGCTCTTTTCTTTTCTATTCTATATTTACTTATCAAAAAAAAAAAAGAATTTGCCTCCATCACTTGCATCACGCACTGAGCCAGGAACGACATGACCATTTCAGCAGTAATTGTGGATCGGGGACCCAATTCTGAGAAAAATGGTACGTAGCACCAGTTTCTCAATGTGATTAAGCTAATAGCATCTCGACATTTAGTTTCTCTCTATATCTACATGTGTATATATAGATATACAAATTCAAGGCAGAGACTAGAAAGAAGTTATGGTATAGGTTGATCTGATGTATGGGGTTGGCTAGTTGAGATTGATGGAGGTGAAATGTGTTTTGGTTTTCTCTATGGTTATAAATAAATATAAATTGTGTAATTCTTCGAGCTATTCAGATATTAAATCAAAATCTACTAAATAATGGAATTAAGTAGCTCATGTTCTCAAAATTCGGTTATGAATTTAGCATCCAGAGAACATTTAGAAGAAACAAATACGATATAACAGTTTTATGAAGAAAAAGAAAAAATATAATGATATCAACCTCTTGTACCATTTTAAGTTCACTATCATATGGAAATGCAATTTAGGTAATGGAAGGGTCTTTTGTAGTTTCAGAAGCCCCTCTAATGCAACTCAAGGGCAAATTTGGTATTGCAAGGTAGTCAGTTAAAGCCTAAAGGTATTTTTGTCAACATAAAAATGTTGAGTTAAAGTTTCATAAGCCCCTCTAAGGTTATTTATGTCTTTCTAGCATTAAGGGCATATTTGGTATTGCAAAAAACTCTTCTTAATAGGTATGACAGTGAGTTGACAGGAAGCAATCATTAAAATCGTAGACCAATTCTCAGCGGTATCTTTGCAAATGAATGAACCTTGACCCCGCGTTTGATATTGCCAAACCTCGTGAGGTGTTAAGTGTAATTTATCCTATAGATAAATGTATACTCAAAATATATATTATATATATATTTTTTTTTTTTGATAAGTAATAATCAATTAAAAAGCGTTCAAAAGGGGAACGCATCCCGGGTACAGAACCAAAAAAACCTAAGGACTCATGGAGTCCAAAAGCTCAACAATGTCAACGGAAGGGAAAAATATATATTATATATATAGTAAACAAAAGGTAGAAAAAGCAGTTCTAGGTCAAAAGTAGAAAGCAATCTGATTATGATACTACTCATACTAATTAAATAGCGTCCATAAAGAAAGAGTATTTGAAATGCTCACTTTGTTCCAACAAGTGAAGCTCCCGGGAATTTGTCCAACACCTCGTAAGTATCCCCCTGATTCTTAGTTTTCCCACTAGAAGGTCCCTTGGTCTTTGAATTTTTGGAATCCTGAACAGACCCATTGGGTACGCCTTTTTTTTGTTTCTCGATCGGAAGCTCTGACAGTCGAGACTCAGCAACCACATAGATTTTTCCATTGAACTTGTTGCGAACCTGATTGTTATTTTAATTTAACATAAAATACTAGATCAACATATAAAATAATAGCACAATCATGATAAAATTAACTAAATATTGATTATTTAGACACTCAGGATGTTTAGGACCAAATCATTGCAACTGTTTAGACTAATTTTGTAAATTCAAATATGTTAAATAAAACCAAGTATAATGAATAATTTTTTGCTTCACAGTTTATTTAATGAGTAAGTGAAACTCACAAATTTATGGTTTTCAAGCCTTCTTACATGATAAGAAGCAAATATTCTAACTCATCAAAGATAATAGAAAATTGAAAGAACATTGACCTAACAATTACCTCACAGCTTTAAGATATGAGCCTCCGACTACACAACTGCAATACTCAATATGTTATTCTTAAAAGCACACCTTAAGCCAAGATCCAAGATGGAACCTTTGGATGCCTTCAAAACATCTATTTCAATACAACTAAACAAAATGGCCATCTTTAATTTTGTTTTCCTTTTTTGGCGATTAACAAAATGATTGTCATCTATTAACTAGAGAAGAATTACTAAGCAGCTCTCCAATTAATGTCTTTCATAACTAATCCAATATAATGACGTTAGACTACACCAATTCAAAGTTCAAACTAGCAATGTAGACAATTTATTGTCTACACAAACATATGCATTGACAGCACAAATAGTTGATTCACCAATTCAGACTTTTCAAGAAAGACTGACCTTTACATAGACAAAATTTGCATTGACGCAGAGGGCAAGATTACTAGGGAGTGTCCATGGTGTCGTTGTCCACGCTACAAAAGCTGCACTATCTGGATCATCAACTATTGGGAAAGTCGCCATGATTTCAGGATCAGGTACTTCCTGTGTACTCCGGAGTGTTAGAAATATAAGGCTTCAAAAAAATTGAAACTAGACAAATAATAAAAATTATTACAATAATGATGATGAAGAAGTTGCTATAATAAGTATTATTATTATCATCACAACAGCTCTACAAAACAAAACCATAAAAATAAATATATATAAAAAAGAGACAGAGACACACAGAGGGGCTACTTTCAAGTTTGTATGTAGATCTATTAGCTACAGAATGTAGAATATAAGCATGAAAAACATGAAATTATCATTGAAACTGAAAAAATGCACTATAAACAGTCATGGGATCAGAAAGATCTAATCATAAAAATTCCTTCGAGAACTCTGCAAGTAATCTAGTTCGGTAACAAGGCTGGTGGTAACTACACCGAGCAATGGCCTGCTCTGCTATCAAAAACAATGACAATCAGTGGCAATATATGAAGATTATTTACTACCATTATAATTACTATTAGTAGAAGTAAAATTACTAGTTGCATAACCCATTAAGGAAAGATCCAGTTTAAACCTTATAGTTCGAATTGGCTTCAAAATTAGACAATGGAGTCTTGCAACCGGTGCTGTATGGCATAACCTGCAAAAAGCAACCACAGCACACGAACATTTAACTCCAATTCATCCCACTATATAATCAATAAATAAATAAAAACATACAGTTCAAGTTTAAATTATCATCTAGTTTCTCAGAATATCCAGTACCCAGTTCAGAATGAACCACAATTAACAAATTGGAAACACCATTCAAAAATTGCCTTCATCATTATCTTTTCTTCTATCCTAAAACCAGAGAATGAAAAAGGGAAAGAGGAATACACATACATATATTTATGCAAGTTCAACGTGAAAAACAAACCTTGAAACCTCTATAGACGAGACCCTTTTCAAATAGCTGAGAAAATACCCACCAAACACTCTCCATAAACTTCAAGTCCATAGTCTTGTAATCATTCTTGAAATCGATCCACCGACCGGTCCTGCTTACAATCTTCTCCCACTCGTCCACGTACCGCGTCACAATACTCCGACACTCCTCATTGTATTTATCAATCCCCATCTTCAGCACATCCTCTCTGCTCTTAATTCCCAACTTGGTATCGATCTCGAACTCGACGGGCAAGCCATGGCAGTCCCATCCGAATCGCCGGGTCACGTGGTGGCCCGTCATGGTCTGGTACCGGGTCACTATGTCCTTGATCGTGCCGGCGAGAATGTGGCCGTAGTGAGGAAGACCGGTGGCAAATGGTGGTCCGTCGTAGAAAATATACTCTGGGAGGTCCTTTGTTCTGTCGAGCTGGGTCTCGAAGGCATTGTTTTCGGTCCACCATTGGAGGATTCCCTCTTCTTGCTTCGGGAACGAGAAGTCCTTGCCTTCGCATACATCGTCCATGCCCGCCACTTAGAGAGTCTAGAGAGAATGTATGAAACGTATGTAGGGAGAGAGGAAGGTGAAGTGGGCGGACTGGAGTTTGGGAGAGTATCGGTGTATCAGTCTATCAAAAACCCTAGATTGAAAGAAATTTTAGTCTATCAAAAACGTGGAATATTTTAGTGTCGAACCGGGAAATGAGCGGGTCGAGGACAAACGGTTCAACGGCTTTTTTTTTTCTGTTTTTTTCTTTAAAAACTTGTCCACGCCACCCAATATATACAATAACGATCACATCGTTTTCATTTTCAAGTGTTTTTGGATCCAAAAAATCTATAAGCTATTAGATTGTCTTTAACACCCAGTTTTATATGTTCAAAGCCATTCCTATTCATACCCCACGTAGAATAATAATTCATGACATTCTCTCCGACTCAAATTCACATCACTCTCTGAAGATGCAAGAAACTCCTTCTATTCTTTCTCTCTCTCTCTAGAATTCTTACACTTCAACCCGAAAAGATCCCTCTCCTCTTCATTCCAACTCCTATTTATAGATATTTACAAGATATTTACAAGATATTTACTGATTGCTGGATCTGGGCCTATTCCTCTGTAAGACCTGGTCACCCTTGATGGGCTTACTCCCGTTCGGCCCATATGGCAGTGTCTTTTTATGGGCTGACCCAGCTGTTCGGACTGAATGTTGTGTTTTGCGAGTCGGACCTGGCCCATGTCATCCGGGGCCTCCTCAACTGCCCCCATAATTGCCCCTTATTTAATAAGGGGTAATTATTGATGGCGTCTCATCATGACGCTGACGGCTCGAGATAACCACGTGGGGGAGCGGACGGTCAGATCCAGAATCAATGTTCCGGGGCTCGAGGGATTTCTCGCCTTCCCGACGCTTCGGCCCTCGGGCCCCCTCGCCTTTATAATGCTCTAGAATTCCACTTCACTTCCCTTTACCGTCTCCATCATCAGCCAAGTCTCTCTCTTTCTAGAACAGTGCTAAGCTTTTTCCGGTGAAATCCTTCGAGAGTCATTCTTCCAGCGATCTTGCAGTCCTCCGAGGTTAGTTTCGTTCTTTTTACTTTCGGCAGGCTTCCATTTTCCCACTTTTAGATTCTTCTAGCACTTCCACCATGGTTGTAGATCTGGATGTTCTTCGTATGAGACTTAGACTTCCTGACAACATCGAAGTTAGGGTTTGCCCCCAAGACGTTAATATCACGACCGGCGCCGGCCTCCTGCGTGGTCGTGGGTTCGATTCCCACAGACGGCGCCAATTGAAGATGCAAGAAACTCCTTCTATTCTTTCTCTCTCTCTCTAGAATTCTTACACTTCAACCCGAAAAGATCCCTCTCCTCTTCATTCCAACTCCTATTTATAGATATTTACAAGATATTTACAAGATATTTACTGATTGCTGGATCTGGGCCTATTCCTCTGTAAGACCTGGTCACCCTTGATGGGCTTACTCCCGTTCGGCCCATATGGCAGTGTCTTTTTATGGGCTGACCCAGCTGTTCGGACTGAATGTTGTGTTTTGCGAGTCGGACCTGGCCCATGTCATCCGGGGCCTCCTCACTCTCGTTATAATTGGTTCACCCTAATGACGAAAGACTTAGTACCTGACCCGAACACCTCCATGTGGGTGTTTGATGTGATATTAAATCAATGGTTGAACATATTCTTATACTACTTGTCACAAATCGAATATTTCGTAATCCAACTTTAAAAGTTAAACTATTAAGTAGTGTTAACACTCAATCTCATGTACCCAAAACCCTACCCATATAGATTCGTGGGACAAGAATCCATTATACTGGGCTCTATTTGATAACTTTGCCATTTTCAATTTCCTACTACCATTTTCAAAAGAAAAAATGAGAAGTAAAAATCAGATTTGATAATCACGTTTTGTTTTCTAAATTGTTACAAAACAATTATACTCCGTAATAAAACTTGTCAATTTCTTTATATTTTCTAAAGCACCAATTTGATGCTACATGATTCATGAATGTATTTTCGTTTTAAGTTGCACTGTAGCTGCTCCGTTTTTCAAAAGTTGCAAAGTAAAATGTTTACTTCCATTTTTCACATAAATGACAGCACAACACCCAAAATAAAATTTTAAATAAAGAAAATGTAGCCTTAACATATATTCTCTAAAGAGGTGACTTTGATATTCTAGTATTTTCAGTAAACTTGCTTAAACCAACTACATTTTCTTGTTTCTAAGGTAGAAAGTTGAGGGTGTAAATGAATGGATGATTGTGTTTTTTGTCAATATTAATAAAAATAATAATAATAATAATAAAATAATTTGTTGAATAGTAATATATCTTTTGCTTCTTAATAAGTAATCCCTAATTCAACTCCCCCTCCCCACAATCATTTTTATTAGGAAAATAATGTTTGCATTGAAACCAATTGGCTCGAGCCAACCCATTTTGTTTAGAAACAGGCATTTCTATTAAGAATTGGTTGGCTCGGTTGTGAATTTCAAACTCATCAATAAGTCGGTATCTCAATAACTATAGAAAAGTATTTCGCTGTTAATCAGTTAATTCGGCAAACTACGAATTGACACTGGCCAATTTTATCATGTAATACACATCGTTATGTCTGGACTATAAAAATTGTTATGATGATAAACATTTTAGAATATATGAAGGCCTGGCTTGTTATAATTTGAGGTCTTAGGAAAAAAATATAGAAGTAATCTTATCATGTTTAATATATTAACTTAAAAATGAAATACTAATTTCAAATCTTGGAATTTTACGTGTGAGAGAGAGAGAGAGAAGAAAAAAAAAAAAAAAAGAACATTGAGTGAGATAATATCAACCATCCTTTGTACAAGACTAATTAAATTGTATTGACTGCTGCCTAAGAATGTAAGATAAATTCAAATTTTAGAAGCATAATACTAATACATTCTATTGGTTGGGAATATATATGTACTTTAAAGAAGTGAAAGTGTAAATAAAATTGTATCTTTTTAAAAGGAAAAAAAAAAAAAAAAAAATTTGACTTCATTTAAATATGAAGAAAATATAAGTATAAATGTCCAAATGAGATCTTCTAGCCAGTGCATGACTTCATTTGAGATTGATAAATAATATTCACCCTGCAATCTTAGGCATCTAAAAGGCAGTGTATGGTGCACAAAATAGACTAATTTACCTTATATCTATAGAAACTTTTCCACTTTTATGCACTTATAAATATATATATATATATATAGGGACAGAGCCAGCATAGACCCGAAGACGCATGCCGCCCCGCAGTCCCATTCTTGCCCCACGAAGGGTCTGTTAGGCTAATGTTTTTGCTTCGTGTGTTTTTGTTTTTGTTTTTGCTAGTATACTGTAGCGAAGCAACTACAAAGCATGTTTGGTAACCTTTGTTATCATTTGAATAGTATCAACGTGCTTCCGAAATTGAGGCCAAAATCGGAAGCATAAAAATGATTTTTTTTTTTTTGCTTCCGCACTATAACAAAACAATGTTCAAAAAATAATAATAAATAAAATTCGAAAATAACTTTTTAACTTGCAATTCAAATTTTAAAATTTGCAGCATTTTTTACCAAACATGCTTTCATTTTTTGCTTCAAAGAATCTTGCATCAAATTTACGTTACTAAACAAGTTTTGAAATAGCATTGAACATGCTCTAAAACATAAAAGTTACTTCTACTTCGGGTCAAAGCAAAAGTACAAAGCAAAAGCGATTGTCAAACAAGCATTTATACTTTTCGACTTATTATTTTACTGCACCGTTAATTGATTTATTATTATTATTTGTTTACTTTGATGCTAGGATGTCAAAGCTCCAGCTTAAAGACTGGCAATGGATACAACTGACATAAAAACTACACGTAGAGTCTTGTTTTGAAGGAAATATTTTTATGTTGTGTTTGGGAGCACATAATTGACTAAATTTTTTTCAATTTAAATTTAAATAGCCGATTCAATGCTCCAAAATATAACATTGGTGAGTTTATTAAAGATTGCTCCCAAATGTTAAAGATTACTATCTAGTATGCATCCCCATTGCCCTTTTTTTCACTTTTTGATTTACCTTTCAAAAACTTTCATTTTACTTGCAGAAGATATGATGATCAAATCATGTTATACTCGTCTTTTTATCTCGTCTATTTTCTACTTAAGCAAATAATACAAAAAAACGACCATTCATTTCCTAGTGACATTTTCTACCCCTTTTACCTTCCCATCTTTCCAATTTTCCTTCTTTCATGTTAAAGGAATATTCATCACTCCTCGCTCCAACCAGTCCAAAATATGAATAGTGAATGACGGAATTCTCCCATTGAGTAGAGTAGTTTTTATTTATTTATAATGGCAATAAACACACACAATTTATCTTTGAGAACGAAAAAGTTATACTATTGAATCAGATGATTATTGGTATCGAGTATAGTAGTTGGGTGGGCAAACCCATATCTACATCTGATAGATATGGTGAGGTATTGTCTTACTCTTCAATAGGTGCAGGGCACAAACCCAACATAGGACCAGTGGGGCACAGGCCCCTACTGGATTTTTTATATTTTCTTTTTATATCTCAATTTTTTTAGAATTTACAAAGATGGCCCACTAAAATTACATTCCGCCCCCATTAGATTTTATGAAGATTATATTTTCATTTTATACTTCAATTTTTTTAGAATTTATGAAGATGCCCTCACTAAAATTACATTTCGCCCCCACTGATTTTATTTTATTTTATTTTTACATTTTATACTTCAAATGTTTAAGAATTTATGAAGATACCCCCACTAAAATTATAATTCGGCCCCCACTAATTTTTTTTTTCTTTTCATTTTATACTTTGATTTTTTAAAAATTTATGAACAAAATCGCATTAAAATTACAAAAATAGACCCACCATATAAGTTTTTCCCTACAAATTAAAAGGCAGCCCCCCTAGTAAATTTTCTGGTTCGTCACTGACAGGTGCTATGTAGTTTGGTTGATGTCTTATACAGGGACCGAGCCAATGAAGAGTAAGAAAGGGCACACGTCCCCCTGGCCTGGCCCCGCCCTCTATAATATATATAGTATTTTTATATATATATGAAAATTTGTATACAGTACCCCCTAAATTTTGTGATTTCTA